TTCCTTTCTTTTTCATTATGCCTGCAATTTGTGCTCTACTGTTCAATGATGATGAGGGCAAGACCAGCAGTGGCACTACGAATCACCCGCTTGTTTTACGACTTTTTTATTCATGCCTCAAGGTTGGAATTTAGTTTTCTCTCGTTAACTGCGAATTTCCTCGAGAAAAAGATTCAAGATTTCATTCCACTGCACTTCCGTGCAATCAGCTGAGAAATAGATAGCACGTTGACGTCCTGCGAAAACTCTGAACAGAAGAGTCATGGTTCTGAGGTTGGCATGTCAGAACGTGGGAGAAGTACGACCAGAGTGATGTATGGTCCTCATGGCTGAAACTTGCCTGACTATTCGACAGCTGACTCAAGGTGTAAACGATGAATAAATAAAAATTGATTTTTGTGTGCCGCCGTCAGCTAGCAGTATTTTATTTTTTAATGAAAACGTCCACAACTGTGCTTGTAATCATTTGTTATTGAGTCACATTCACCTCTCTGGGAACGATAAAAGACTAGCTACCAAGTCAGGATCTGATCATATGATCTGTCGACTGCGAGTCTTGCGCTCTACCGGTTAAAATGTCCTGAAATCACGAGAAAATGATGTTTTCATGGTGGAGCAGAATCATTAGACTCAAGGTATCGCACATGCCAAGTTTGCTTTCAAATGCCATAGAGTTACTTAACTAAATTGCATACCCTCTACGAAAACCTGTTCTAAATTACAGTAGCAGGACAAAAACAATCTTGCGCCGTACCAGACCAGACAATGAGACACGCAAATGACAGCTGAGAGAGGATGCAGTCGATGAACTTTCAGGATACCGTTGCTGAGGAAATAATGCAGCTAACCTCGAATGAACACACTCTTATGCATGACATGAGAAAGAGAGAAAGGTTCATTGATTTCCACCAGTTTCTTAAGTGTCGTTAAGCGTGACAGTCTCCGTGCCTGCTGTGACTACTAGTATCATGACTTTTCTTAATCACATGTTCTGCTGTTGTTAGGTATCGGGGTTGTGGACAACTAAATTAATCCTGTCCGGACAGCAGCAGGTGATTCATGTTCTGTAGGACAAATCAAGGCAAATCTGATGCTGGTGCGGCAGTGAAGAAAATCGATACGAATCTTTGAATTAGTGCGTGTACAAACATAGAATAGAACAACCAGACAAAGAATCAGAAAAACAGTTGTACAAATGTCTGTACGTCACATCATGCCACAGTATGACCATGCATGTTGACGTTGACGTGAGTACGGATCACGGGATTCAAAGTGATTCGTCGTATGAATTTGCAGATTGTACAGTAACAACTTAACCACGGAAAATAATGCTAGATGAATAAGTTCAGTTATGACTGCTGTTTACTGCTTGCGTTAATTACCCGAAGACGACTTACATATCATGAAACTGAAGCTAAGTCAACCTTTGATTCATAGCGTAGTTCCGGTAACCAAGATCAATATTTTAGCCATTGTTTTTTACAGCATTATTCCGTATCTTCATGCTAAACGTCTTCAGTGTTGAACGATCAAGACAAGAATGTACGGTGAAGTCGGTGGACGTTTGCTTCAACTCTTAAGATCGTCATTTCGACTTTCAGAGGTCAATTATTGGCTACCACCCCGTGAGAGGCAAGTAAAAAATGACAGGCGAAATTGCCCCCATCCCAAAGGTGGAAATATAGTCTTCAGAAATAGATACTCCTAGCTGATGGCATCGTGATAGAGATCAGCGCCACAATATAAGCTACGCATGAAAAAGCGCATTACAAATCACGGAAGTTAACAAAGATACAGAAATTCCAACGGCTACTTTGCTTTCCTCTTTGTAGCCATCTTTCGCAACCGAATCGACGAAGAAGCCTGGGATTATGCGAAGGTTAATAAAAGGCTGAATAATCATATTCGTTCGCGCATAGCGAAAAACAGACGATCTCACGTTCACAGCGGGTCACATTTTTTACCTCCACTTCCGGTCAGCTGCCGATCATTGCTGAAGAAAGATGATGAGTTGACCTCTTTTTTGAATGGTCAAATTTTTAAAAAACCTCAATGAAACAACGCGAGTACTCGTGGTTATACGTGCCAAATAAAGAAAGTACGTTTGCAATCATTGAGATATCGATCACAGTTACATCTTCATCTCCACCGCCTGCAATCTGTGGCACATTTCTTTTTATGAAGGTTATGACGCGGCGTTAGTTTCATTTTCCGTGCCATCAGCAATGACTGCATCACTGCCATTTTTTATCAAGTAATATCTACAGTTTGCGGTTCGCTTTGACGTATTATCAGTTCTCCAGGTCTTCCAGTCTTCTATAGCGTTTCCAGCTGTTTATAGTTTTCATCTGTTTCGTTCACATGCAGTGGTACTCATTTATCTTTCTCGGAAGGAAAATGGCGAGCGAGTCCATCAGAGTTGTAACTCGAGACCCTTCGGTAAGCCCGGTTGTTGATAGACATAGACTTGTGATAAGTTCATTGTGGTACGCAGTTACGCTGCTGCAGATCCAGTCAAAATAATACCCTTTCGTCGCCCATCGAGATATATATTGTCAGTGTACAGGTGTTTCACTACATGTGTAGGCTATCTCCAAGACCATACGCGTATCAAAAGCATAAAGTATGTCACATGGAAACTATGCAGTACCAGTGCCACTATCATTATTGCTCTCAAAGGCTTCCCGAACCTCATCCTGACTAAAATTCGCATAAAAATTCATTCGCTGGATGCTTACTTGAACTGAAGACCATGGAGGTAGGATGGTGCTAAAGGTGTACGTAAAAACATTTTAACAGCTGTAGATTGATTCACATATATGATGTAGCAGCGTTCAATCACTTTCGTACCGACAACAAGGCGTTTTGTAAACTAGAAGGCAGGCCACAAAGATACTAGCAGACAATACAGATGAGCATTGCTACTGTTTAACTACTTTCAGGTGCAGAAGAGCTGTTATTAATGTTTGAAGACCACTAAACTCCATGTGCACGGGAAACATTACTAACTTAAATACGCGAACGAAAAAACGGCTCTTATGTCCATAAGCAATCGGGGTGACCATTATGCCATATCCTGGACTGATTGATAATCGCCAATCTGTTGATACCGAATTGCATAAATGCATGGTATGCGTATTGATGGCATGGAACTCTAAGAACGTTGTAAGGATCGCAGTTAGCAATGTAAATGCTGTAATCGATTGCCTTCACGTTCTTCTTGTGCATGTAGTCCAGGAGCCGGAAAATAAACGGACAATAAACAGCACATTGACTTGGGTAGCATGCTACGATGGGTCAGACGTTATTTTCATTTTCCGCTTCGTTCACGTACAGCAATGCCTTCTGGCATCTGGTCGAACTTTTGACAGACAGACAGTCTCCAGAGCATTGATCGTCGACGACGTCAGCAAGCAATAGAAGACGTTGCAGCAAGGGGCAGTGGTATGAAAAAGAGTGAAGCATATTATTAGTGACGTAATAACGTTCAGAATTAGGCTTACGAAAGAAGCGAGGAATAACATCGATACCGACACCAGAGTGTGAATTCTTTCACTGTCGATCAATCTCAACAGCTATTCAGTCAAAGTTCCACAAGCTGCCCGACTAAAACGAAACGCAGCAGAAGTTCGCAATCTTGCGTACTGCCGCGCCTCGATACTTATTAAGTCCACTGAGGTGGCAGGTTCCGCTGCACGAGCAATTTCATGCTGTCCAGTTGGCCGCGACAATGCAATGATCATGAAATGGCAATCATTCATCTGTAATCAGCAGCCTTATTTTATCTTTGTATATATTCGCTGTTTTGTTTTATCCGGTTTCTTTGATGGTACTTTACACTTGGAAAAATTCAAATCTAGTGTGCATTTAAATGAAGTATATTTACAGGGCAGATCTGTGATAGGCAAGTCAATCACATGCGCGAGACAGCAGCAGAGCGATAGCAGCTGTAAGAGCGAACGTTGAAGCGCGACTACCAACACACGATGTCATCTGAGGCATGGTAAGCGTAACAGCTCTGCTTGGCTTTGATCAATGATATCTGATATGCAGGAGGTGATTCCTCAAAATACATTAGGTCCGCCTGCTGGAGAGTAACGTACTTCTAGTCGGATTTATCCACTCTTAAAATGATCTCTTTCTCTTTCACACCTGGTGATTGGCTCCCACGGGAAAAATGCTATTACCACTTCTGCTGTCTTCTGAGCATTGTTACCAAGCCACAAAAGTGCTGCTTCTTGACTTTTCTCTTAGAACTTCTTCACTAGGGTGGTTGTCAATACGTGTGACCGACCGTTGGTCAGTCGATGAAATTGTCGGATTTTTGCTTGCTGCGGGGGCCACATTACGAAAACAGTCCAGATAGCCTATGTTTCACTTCATGACTCCACTTCTCGACTTGACCTTGTACAACAGAACAGAAAAGACCGCTGTCTTACAAAGGAAAACTCTCGTCTTCTTGGCTATTGATCGGTTTTCCGTACACTGCTTATGCGTTGATTATTTATTACTGGACAATTGCCTAGCTTCCGTCATTAGCTGACCACGGCCAACAACTGTCGACTCTGTCCAGCGTCACTCCATCTGCCATCAGTTCTGGTTTTTGTCGTCGCCCGACTAGCTCTGTATTGCTGCACACTAATACTAAATGCTTGAAGGCCGTTTCCAGAGTTGCTCAGCAGAAAACTGTCGTTCGTTCGTATACCGCAAACCGCAAATCGGTAAGCAGAAGCTACGTTTGATGGATTAACAGCTGTCGAGGGTTGAATCGCGGCGTTCCGACGAAATTTATACCTATGATGAGGCAATCTGCATGCAACGCGGATGATCAAACAAGAAACAGATGTACTTTAGGGGAGGAGTTATTCAAAGAGGATTCAATAAACTATGCATTATGCGATTATTTGCACTGACAATCTGCCATCACAGACCAGATATAATTGCAACCAGTACACACTCATACACCTGTTGCGATGACTCAATACTGGATCAGTGATTATTTAGTAAAAAAGATATTTCATGAGATCGTCCGACGATGACAGTTGGACAATAATCGAATGAGTGCCTGGCGATTTGTCGTCAGCAAGTGGCATCGACGAAGATTTGTACTGTGTATAAAAACGACCTGCATGCTGATCATCCGTCGGTGGAGGACCAAAACGGCACACACAAACGCATGCACACGGAGGACGATAGCCACCTACCTGGTGTCTGGTCACTCGATGGCGGGCCAGTTTTACAACGGCGAAGTTACCCTTGCCGATGGTGCGTTGCACGTCGTACAGACCGAGGCGGAACAGATGGCCCTTTGCACTGGACGAGGAGGACGAAGAGGAATTCATCGCTGGCCAACTACTCTTTGCTCCACGACGACGACGACGACGACGAAGAGGACGATGACAGTGACAACAAACCACATCGTTCTTCTTGCCCTCGAATGATGACTGGCTGGTTGACTGATTATTAGGTGGCACACCCTGAACGCGGTCGCAGGCACCAACGTGGCGGAGAACACATACTCGCACTACCGCGTGCTGAACTCACTTATTCCCTCCGGCGCAAGCGCGCTGATGACGTCACTCACTCAGTGCTCTCTGACGACCACGGTGACGATGACATTCGGCCTCCGCCCGCTCATTCACTTACTCACTGACGTCAGAAGAAAATTATTACTAATCTCAATTATCGAGCGATTCTCGTCGTCGACGTCACACATGCCATACGTTCGTTCGTTCGTTAGTTCAGGCATCGGCGCAGAGATGCCACTACCATTTCATCAATATTAAGTAGCGAGGTTGCGAGTTCTTCCGTCAGTAGCGCCTCCCTCAACAAACGCTTCTTACTCATTCGACGGTGCACGATTTGCTGCTAATTGAAAGTGACGTCATCAAGCGTCGTAATTTCTCGTCTGCAACAGAAACTGTAACTTTATGAATACTGTCGATCGATCAGTAGACAAACTGCATAATCTTTTCGATTCCCTCCCGTTCTGTCCAACATAACTTTATTTTTTCTCACCGACGCTCAAGCTCGAAAACTTAAACCCAAATCGATCGACATGGCACTGTTAAGCGGTAACAATGGAGAAAATAATCTATATTAAATAAAGACACTATCTTCTTTTGTCATTTCCCCAGATTCACACGACATAGGCGAGGTTTCTTTGTGCGTCTAATTGCCCAGGGAACTGTTTAATGACGTCTCGAATAAATAGTACTGTGGCACTTGCAATGCATAGACGCTAAACAGTTCCACTTCGTTAAGTTGACTGAAAACATCTTCGAACACCAACAATTATACCTCAGTCCGTAAAAATATTTACCACAAACTATCCGCCGTTTTAAAACTGCTAAAAAGCGGTTAGTTTTGAATAACGCCGGTCCTCTAGGCCATTAAACGCAAAAGAACGGTGCACTAGGCTGTGTCAGTCCGGAAAAATGGCAGGAGCATATTGTTCTTGCCAGCGGTAAACGAGCGCATTGCTAGGAATCCCATAATACAGGCGATAATTTTCGTATATATGACTACAAACTAAGGCATACACGTTGTTGTTCCAGTATGTTTTTGTCCGATCCAAGAAATTGGTGCTATTTTGCGCCCATGCGCCTGCAGGTGCTGAAATACCGTACAGTTGGACCTACTTAAATAGCTTCCCCAGACGACTAAAACTAAGGGGACGGTACACTACGCGATGATATTGTTAAATTGACAGGAGAATATTATTCTGATCGGATGTAATGAAAACTGGCAGTAGCAAATCCATAATAACAGGGTGTATTCCTGGTAACAAAGAAGCTTATACAACATGTACTGACTCCGGCGTTGGCGTAATTGTTTTGTAACTCTTCCGAACCATTGTTCCATTATATGTATGAAAAAGATAAATTGTTTACAAATAAGCCAAACCACATCTTGACATTTCCTATCAAAGAGGTTGTGGAAAAAGTGCCGCCATATCCAGCTATAAATTGCCACTACTTTATTTGGAGAAAGATGAACGAAAGCAATATTAAAATTGGCAGGAAGCAACAAAAAAAACAAACTTTCGAAGGTACACAAATGTTGGCAACAGCATAAACCTGCGGATGCGTAAGGTTTGAGTTCCGATCATCCTGCTCTGCGATTTAAAGACAGCAGCATTTTCCAATACTGAAGCAGAAAACTCGAAATTAAGATACTAAATTCAATATTACTAGGGTGCTGGAGAGATCTGATGACAAATGCTGTCGAAAAACAAAAATATATAAGGAAAGAAAGGAAACGAAAGTTTTTAACCGCCGAAATATAGATCTTCCTTACATTTTCATGATTGCAGTATAAATGCTGGTTTGACAGTGCTGTAAAGAACATTAGGCAGGTCTGAACTAGAAAGAGACGTCAACAAAGCGACTGCCTTTCGTTAGACTGGCTATTGAATTCTGTTAGTTGGCAGCTTTGCTCTTATTTAATTGTTATTACGTTTCTGAACATTAAATTTTTGTTTGCGCTAAAAAACGAAAGTGCTGTTGGACGATCTAGTTTAACTGGAAAACTGAATTTCAGTCTCGTGACACAAGCAAAGTGTTGGGTAAATAAGCAGTTGAAAGGCGATAACTGAAATAGCAACGCGGCAATATCTAACTGTCTGGAGATAGAGTGACTCCCATAATTAGTCGTGAAAAAGGCCAAGACACTCTGATCATTTTTTTGCCGACGTTTGCTTACGAACTTAGGCAGATGGTCTCAAAATAAAACTGCAAAACCAGGAAAATCGCCTGTTTCCAGTCCAACAGATGGTTGGAACGACTTTGACGGGACAGCTGTGCTACTTAATGTCACTCCTTGAGATCTGAAAAAACTCCATACAACCGAACAATCCGCATTTATGGTTTATTGACTGCGTTGTAATGCGAAATTGACAGTGTCCAATTTCATTTTTAAATTTATGTTTACACACTGCTTATTATTTAATCAGATGTCAGCGATTCCAGAAGGAAAACGCACGCTTCAACATGAACGCACCGGATCAAAATGAGGTTCCTGTTATTCGTGTGCTGGTATGATGCCTAACAGGTGTAGTTCAAACCCCGGGTGCCGGATCGATTCGGCAGAGAGCAATGGCTTTTGGCAGTGACTACGAATTCCATGCAGTAGGGAATTTACCACACGTTGCTTCTGACCGGGCTTGCCCAGTAGGTAGGCGTCGAGCGCAATGCGGAAAGGACCCGACTTTAAGCCCCGGACGCGTGCACTAGCCCTTCTTCCTTCCAAACTGATAAATGAGTGCAACTCCGTAAGAAGGAAACAGAAGACTACACCCTACGCTCCCATACGGCTGCGTACTCCGGCATAAAATGAAGCAATCCTGGCTGAAGGCATGGAAATGGAGATTTGCATCCCACTACCAACTTCATGAAAAAAAGGGATCCGTTACGGAAAAGTAAAGAAAACCGACACCCACCATTTAAAAGCTTCTATTTCCTTTTACCGTCCTTACCGTTAGTGGCACGTAAATCAGCTGCTACGGTTTTTCAGGCAGGTTGCAGAGAAGCACATGGGGTGAATTCGTTCTTTTCTATTTTCCTAGCATGTTTTCTTTAACAGAAGCCCGCGAATCGAATCAACTTTTTTCACATTTTCATGCTTGGCTAAATCTGCGGTCACTATCGAGTTTCATATCGCTCTCTTCATGGCACCAAATTTTTCTTTGATCTTTCATTCGTTTTTTTGGCCGAGAATAATAGTTTGAACCAAATTTCCGAGGAACTCATCAATTCTTTTTTTCAAATAGCTAAATCAACAGAGCCTATTTTCTATAAACTTTTCGGAAATTGAAGATACGCTTAGAGAACCTCTCCTGAAACTGTTTCACATGTGGCCCTTTACGTAGACTACACACATCCATCTTAGCATTAGCATTTCTACAGAGTTCAGCTGTTGCTCATGTCTCTTCAGACTAGTCAAACATTTTGCCCCGTACAGAAGCACCGATTTTACTATCATTCATTACATCTCATCGTTTAGTTTGATGGACATCTTTTAACTAACTGATACTCCACTTACTTCTCAAGGTAATTAAATTCCTGAGTTTGAGGCAGCAAACTCCCTGCTTCTTTTACTGAATTTATGACTTTCAATCTGTCTTCCCCATTGAAATGGCCCGCCATATATCCTGGCTTGCCTCTGCCGAGTCGAAGGCAGTTCTTCTCAAGAACTGTTCTCCATATTTCGGTTCCTGATTCTCAGCTACTCTGCTTTAGTGCACAATGTAATCTGTACGGAGAATGTAGTATGGGGGTTGCTTCCTGCAGATCCTCAGCTATCGCATCTGCTGCCATCGAGCACAGAAATGGGCTCAATGCGGATGCTTGGTGGACTTTTACTGATACAGGGGACTCTTCTATTTCGCCGCATGTGCTTTGGACTATCGTTGTCACTCTCTCGTACACGTCTTTGGTACGCCTAACATATTTTTCTGCCACAAGCACTTTTCTCATACTCCACCAGATTGCTTCCATCGAGATCCAGTCAAAAGCTTTCTCCAGATCTAGGAACATCATGTGAATGTCTTGTTTACCTTATGTATATGATTTGAAGGCGAATCTCAAAGTGTGGTGTGAATTCTTTGCTCAAGGAAACTGACAGTCAATAAGAGAAAATTTACGTTTGCGTTGCGGCTTAAAACCGGCGTTTCAAAACTGCAAAACAAATCAAGAGCGCTCTGTCAACAACAAGGCTTTGAAGAGCGTTCATCTTAAATAAACAAAGCGAAAGAGAAACTGCGTAACAGCTGTAAATTTTGTGCATTTTACGACTGATGCAAAAACCATTTGATGAACACCGCTTTATGAAAAGACGCCTCTAAAATAAAAAACAACCTTGAAGCTAATTACTGCAGTTTTAAACTGCGTAGCATAAAATAACACGAGATCAGAAAATCTGGTAGCGCAAAGAAGACCGTCCGTCGTCCACAAGTTTCCTCTCCGGAAGAGGATGTCATTCGCAATCAAACATTTAGAACCACCAAGCCAAAGCTTGCTTACACGAAGGACGAACACTAAACTACTGAAGACACGACTGAATCTTCTCTATCCATTCCTGAGCTTCACGAGAGTTGTTAGCCATAAAGCTGTACAACCGACGGGTCGTACGAAGCTAAAAGGTAAACAAACATAAACAAAATATATGCACATCGTTATTCGATAGAGAACCTCAAAATAAGAAGTGTCTGCCGGTCTAGGCGAACCTGGAGATGACACCGACGGTCCAATGGCAATAATTTCTCCGAGATCGATGAAACCTTTGCAATGCGAATCCTCCATGAACTCATAATATCGTAACTACAAAAGCAATTATTCAACACAAGAAAAAATAAAATAAAAGCAGGCATGAAAATAAAATCTTAAACAGAAATAAGAAATTATTAAGCTTCGACAATTTGCTCATTGTAGCCCACAGTCAGAACTTAACAACTTTTTCCTCAGTCGCAAATAGCACGGCACGTTACTCGAAATTTGTATCAGGTTAGGAAACTGTATTGGTTCAGATCGCCATCAGTTTGTTGGGAGTGCATGTTGAGATCATCATGATGAGCCGTTTGCATAAAAAGAACGGTTCTGGTTTGTGATATAAGCTTTATTCGCAGTTTCTCAACACTTTTGCTGTAAGGACGGAATAATGTACTACAGTAAAAAATATCTCCATCTTAAATCTCATCTAACCTTTACAGTGTTTCCCCATATTGCATTATGCCATACTGGACGGGACGATGTATGCAGCGTTTTCTCACCAATATCGCCACATGATCTTAGCCAAACTTCACTCAACGAAAAGTAACTGTTACATCTGTCGTCTTTCAGAAACATCAACTTCTCGATGCACAAAAAATACGTCGAAGCGGCGCGGTGGGCCAAATGAAAGTAGAAAAAAGAATTTTTAACTACCTCCTTAGTGAACTGTTAGAGAAAGACAATGTCGATTTAGCTTAAAACAAATCATGGAAGGCGTCATTTCTTCAGTAAAAAACGCAATTAAAATTAATAGAATGTCTAAGCCGCCTTAAGTCACGGAGAAAACTCTAACCCTTAGAATGCAAAGAAATTAGGCAAAGAAAGAGCACTTGTAACACTCTACTGTATCATCGAAGGCAAAACGTTGTATCTTGTTCGTGCAGTCAAACGGAGCAAGAACTTTGGCTTCAAGAGAAATTCGAGAAGATCGATAAGTAAATAGAAAGGATGACTGGAAGAACAGTGTTACACAGAATACGACAATTGTTTGAAACCTCGAGATCGGCTTATTACTTATCTAAGACTCCAGGAGTGTCGCACTGGCAGACCTGGCGAAACATTTGAAAAGATGGGCTGAGCAAATGACAGGCAGTTCCACCAACCATGAAATAGCCTCACGCGCGTTTTCGGATCGTCAATTTTCTGGGAACACAAAAGTTTATCGCGATCAACCACAAAACCAGAAATCGAAAAAGCTTAGCTGCCCTTCAAGGTAAAGAAGGCTTGAGGTGTGGGTCAAATTGCCAAAGTCAATTAAGTACGGAGGAATGGGAATAACATAAAAGTTAGACGCCCTATTTCACAAATCTTGGCTTAAAAATGTTTTCCTGTAGAATTTGAGAGCTACTCCCTAATTATCACACTACCGTCAACTCCTGACGAACTCTCTGCAAACGTAGGTGGTACAATTCGTCTTATTCAGGCAGACTTCCGACTGCAGCATTTTTGCTATGACCAACTTTTCAATCTGTAAAGATAAGTGAGCAATGGTTATGATTCCAGGCATCAGCTTCATTGCCTCTTTCCTCGAATTTAACGCGAAATTTGAATTAATGCATCATACAACGACGTAAAAAACTTAAAATGTGGGATATTTGGAAAAATATCATTTCCATTTTGGACGACATGCATGGAGGAGTGGTGCCTGGTGTAAAAGTTGAACGTAAGCTACCTTAACGGCTCTATACTAACTTACAGTTCGGCAAGAATATGTGGATTCGCATATCAATTCAGCGCCATTTTAGACTCTTCTTGCAAAGCAAGGGGAAAACGAAAGCTTAATTATAAAGAGAAGGCAAAGTCCAAGATATTCGACACCAGATATTATTCCGCACTTACACAAACGATGGTGCGAATAGAGTGCAAAGCGGCATCAACCATTTTACAGCTTCTGTTTGCAGTCGGATTCTTTTGTACTGCCCTACGGTCAAACGTTACAAGGAACTCATCCGGTACAGTTGGTCTACAAGTGAAACAGGGAAGTAAAACATCAGAGAAGGTTAACCAACTAAAGTATTTCAATTCAATCATCTCCAGCAATGACGTCATCTGATCAAAGTTAAGCAGATTAAGAGCGTTCGCCTCCAGTGCTTCCAGTAAACATTTTGGAAAAGGAGTAGTAAGCTCCACGAAAATCCTATGGTACTTCGCTGCTGTCGGAAGAATGCTGCTGTGAGGCATGGAAACGGTTGTTTTAACGAAAGAGCAAGAACGACGGTTGAACCCAACACAGCAGCGTTAGCATCGACGCATCAAAAGAAATAGATGGCAGGATCACGTAGGGAATGACTGTTTTTCGGATATAGGTGCCCTTAGTAGATGTGGAGATTACATTAACGAAATTGGCTCCATTAGACAAAAACTGGTTGATCATAAAAAATAATATTCCAACCCGTTGAGCTTTACGTGCCTCGGCGAAACATAGCAGACGTTGACCAGGAGGCGAGCATGCAGCACGACAGAATACGTAGAAGTACATCTTTCAGACAGGAATATTACCTTGTAGGATGTCTGATTTAAAAGGATTTAAAAATTTTGAGAAACGTCATCATGTATATCTGCTGCGTAAAAAATAAACTTATATTATTCGAATTTAAAACAAAAACGCTTGACTGTAATTACTAATAAACGCTTGACTGTAACTTGACTGTGTTTACTAATTCTTCTTCGCGAAAACAAATTTTAAAAAAAATTTCCAATATATTGGAAACTATCATTTATTAATAAACCGATGACTCGATTAGCAGACCTCTGTTAAACGGAATATGCTAGGAAAAAGAAGAAATTCTAATATATCAGTTAGAATAGCAGATAAATGCGATTTCACCGGATTTGCGCGTAGTATTCCCGGAAAACAACGGAATTCGAATACTATTCTAGCCAGTGGCAGGCAAAAACAATTTTCACTAGAAGACCCAACGAGCCACGTATCTGCAGAAGGTCAATATGTTAATTAAAAATATGATGCAACACGGATCGACCGGTATTCGGTGTAGAATCCCATCAGCCACAATACACTGAATTATCATAGCGTACAAAGTTTAGCCACTCGCAGGCAAAGCCAATAATCACCTGGAGAATCTCGTGCAGATGGGCACCCCAATTCAATCCGGATTTTACTAAAGTTGTGTCATCTAGCCTTTGACGAACCTGCATCTAACCGTAAAGCAGTGGTGACATAAACGGCGTTTCTATTTCAAAGAGGCGGTCGCTTTCGCTTCAACATAAGAGTATCAACAGATCCTGCTAGTTTTTCTAAACAACGAACTTATCGAGTTCGAACTCACCTACTGCAAGGTGTTCTCACCGCTGCCTGTTCATAACTGCTCATTTGCTATAGCTCACCGCGATATTTCAGAGGATGAGATAAATCGCCACCAGCGAGGCTAATAATTTAAACACTAATTTCCATAAGAAAGAACCAAGCACCATACTCGGAAGTCGTAATTTATTATTTTTGGCATTTATGAGGTAGTACATAAGGAGTATGGGCCTCTGAAACATCGTACATGATGAGCACGAGGTAACTCTAGGGTTGATTTCCGCAGTTAGTTCTGAGGTCAGCAGCAGTTGCAACGTTTAGAGCCAAAGGAGTGGATTTGATCCATGCTAATGGTTAAGAAGTTTCACGGTAAAAGGCTTGACAAGGCTTGTCCAATCCAGCAAAAATTCATATCCTCCGTCTTGGTTGACATTTACACAGGATCAGGAAATCAAGCTTCTTTGATTCGTCAAGAAAAATCCAGCAATAAAACATCCTCGCTCCTAACCAAAGAACAATGTGAAAAGGCCTGAGGAGTTTTGCAACATGAAGCAGAGAAATGTAACGCTCCCGAGTAGTCAGACTGGATGGGCATCATTAAATAAAGAAACTGGACAAATAGACGAATCAAAGAAGCAATAATTATCCAATCATGTGAAAATGTCAACCGTGACTAAAGAAACGAACTTTCCCATAGCCTTTTCAAACACGTTACTGAAACCACAGTACGAACAGCGAAAACTTATTTACCTTGAAGAAGGCCCATAAAAGACGAGTCGAAACGTCGGCACCGTTCAGTCACCCGACTGACCAATTTGCTCATGCTGTATATGAATAAACCATGTTTTAAAACACTAATCAATTTTTGACAAGGCTAAAACCTCGTAAAAATGCTTCAGCAGTTGATCATGAAAAAGATACGAGTCTACTAGGTGATCAAAGAACCACTGCACATTTTAGTCATAAAATCAATCTCCACGAAGAAGAATATATTCATACCGTATAACTGCTAAAGACTGTCAACTACTGTTTCCACCTAATCATGCTACATGAGGTGACCTGCTGAAACTGCAACATTTTCAATTTGCTTATCACATCTCTTATCATCACATTTCTTAACATCACTTTTCTCACTACACAGGAAGCCCAGTGATGTGTAACCGAAACTTCGCCTACAAGGACCATAAACGGATTTTAATACCAACCTTTTGATTCTGGCAACAAACCGTTAGAGTGGACAATTAACAGTTGC